GCAAGCATGCAAATTTTAATATACACAGCAATTTCTACACTAGAAAAAAAGGCACCCTAAATCCATTTTGGTTAATGCCTTAATTATAATCCCTAACTCAGTTCTGTTTAATTATAAACAATGCATGTTTCTGGCATAACACAGTTTCCCTTTTTTTTAAGGCAGGCATAACACAGTTTCAGAATACATCCAGACACTTTCTTGGTATTTCCAAGAGAAATCACCCAGAAACTAAAGAACACATCCCAGGAGAACAATATAAAGTACTCAAACTAAGAAAATTAGGCATCTCATTAAGAGATGAATTTCATCTATATCTGCAAATGCAGATTTGGGTTCTGAGCTTAGCCCAGAAACAGATACCTTGCATCTATCTGATTCTTTGAATTTCACACCAATAATACAATACATATCCTAATGTTGGCAATGAGGATACAAATGTTACTTTGAAGTGGTTATGCAAATCAGCAAATCACACTGCTAAATAGTTCAGATTAAACTTAAATGACTGAGCTACTTGCATAGTTCAGATTAAACTTAAATGACTGAGCTACTTGCAAGGATATGGACATAATATCACATCTTCACCAAGTTCACTAGAAAACCACATAATAACAAGATTGAAGTCTGAATTTACTTTCTTATAATACCAACGGTCCAGTATTACAAGGAACTATTAGAAACTTGAAACACACGATTGCATAGAAAGTGGATAATTATTTGATAAGCCATTAGGCTAATTGACCAGTACTGAAAGTAGAAATCTAACTGCATATTAAGTATGAATAGATCATGCAAGTGCAGCGTACAGTTCAGAGAGACATACACACTAATATTGCTGTTTGCTGATGCCTGAGAGGGAGGCCCAGTCGGACGGGAAACTGAAACCTTCAAAACTTTCCCATATTGACCAAAGTATTCCCTGCGCTCAAGTACCTAAACAAGAAATAGTAGTAGAGTTGGTATGAGAAGTAAAATTTAAACATATCACACACAACTTGGACAAATCTGGATGTGAACTCACGCTCTCGTTGCATAAATGCGCAGGTAGCCCAATTATGTACACCAGATTTCTCTGGATGACCCTGACACTAGCCAGATGCTTCTTAGATTCTACGGTTGACATTGCTGTTGTTGGTGGTGCTGCCTTTGGCTTAACCTTTTGGGTCTTGTGCTTCTTCTCTGCATTTTTCTCTGCCACCGTCCTGCTTCCATCATCAATGTAAAGGTAAGTTTGAGATACCTAGTGGCAAGGTCAACTTTCACAGATGGCTCTACCTATTCCTATTTCACATGATATATAAAAGGGTAATCAATCGCAAATGTTGTAGTCAGTCTTAACAGAAATTGATTGGTAACAAGAGAAGCATTGCGACGGACCTGTCACAAGTGGCAGCCATCTTGACGATCATGTCCTTGTCATAGCGTGTGCGGCATGCAGGGCAGCGGCCCTCTGTTTCCTCCTTCTCAGCCATGTCTATGATGTGGTGCCAGCACCAAACACAAATCTACAGAGTTAAGTGGCAGTTATTATTAGATGATGGCGCACAGCGCAGGCAAGGCAGGCTGCAATCTGATCGATATGATATGATAGGAGGAGGATCGGTAGACATACATCATAGCCGCATTTGCATGGCTTGAGCTGCTGGTCAGTGATGTCCATCTCCTCGGCACAGAGCGGGCAGGTGCGGTCGCCATCGTCGCTCATGGTCGTCCTGGTGGATTGGAAGTCAGCCAGCATGGGGAGAAACGACCACCCAAGTAGTATGCATGCGGAAGAATAAGACGACGGCCCAGACTCAAACAGACAGGACATCAACCAATCAATCCTTAAGGTACAGTGTCAGCAACCTGAGATCCCAAATATTTGTGCACATCACAGGATAAACTGATACATGAGAGACTGAATGAAGTGTACAAGACACAGAGGGCATCGAACCTTGCCCGATTCTAACAAATCAGCAATCCAACTTTAAATCTATCGGCAGAAACATGTGACAGTCCTAAATTCCACCGGATTGCTCTGCTACGGGGATACACGCACGGACTAATAATAATTATAATATTAACAACAGCAATAATTACAGAAGAAGGCAGGGCGGCGAAATTCCCATGAGATTGTAGTGAATCGAGCCGAAAAGATGCAGTGGAGTAGCGGGAAGGAGGAACTCACATTGGACGGCGGGTCGGGGGGCTCCGATTGCGCGATTCGCGGGAGCGGCAGGGAACCCTAGAGGGAGAGGGAGGAGCGGGCGGTTGAGGCGGCGGCGGCGGCGGGATCAAGCAGGAGGGCAAGCGGGGGGAGGGGATTCAAGGTCGGATGGCTGGACTCCGACTTGTTCCTTGTGGTTGGGGGTGCGCGGGCGCTGTGGACACGGAGGAGGGGGCGATGCGGTGTGCCTGCCGGGGGTAGGTAGTAGAGGAAGAAGAAGAGAAGGGAGCGACTGAGGGAGGGCTGCGCCTGCGTGGTGGGGATTCTCTGTGGCCTTCCTTGTGCTGTGACCGCCACTCTTCTAGTACATGCATAACCCATGTAATAATTTGAGTGATTCAAACATATCTCTCTATATTATTGATCTCATCTCAATCTCAAGCTCGACCTATGATATTAAAAAAACGAAGCCTTTTTTTCCAACTCAGCTTTTTTATTTCACAAAAGTGTTTTTTTTTCTAGTCTTTTTTTTTTACTTTTCAAAAAAACTACCATCACACCCTCTGTATCTTATTTATATATATATATATATATATATATATATGACCCAGATTCATGGCCCTCACACTCTTCGTTTTTTACTGTTGCTATTTTCAAAGTGACAGTCATGTTCTTTTACTATAGCCAAGCCACCTTGAGTTTCTCTGGTGCCAATGTGTCATAAAAAACAAACCTAAAATAGGCTAGTATGTCTTTTATTGTCCAGTAAAGCCACGTTTAGTAATTTGGGATTGGGTTCACTTCTAACATATTGGACGACTATAAACATCTCGGAGGAAGATGATAGTTGAGTGGGAGTCCTCTTGTTGTAAACTGATAGAGGGGAGTCGCGTTAGCGTCATGTATTTGGCAAATTGAGGTGTTGAACTCGCAAAGCTATGTGGTAAGAGCTCCCCCTCCCCCTCTTCGTGTGGGGTCAAGTTCGGTGAAGGCGGCGTTCGGTGTTAGATTTAGTCCTAAATCGATAATTAATGGTCGATGAGCACAACATATAAGACGGGGGCAGCCCTCACCTATCTCCTAGAAGAAGAAGCTGAGGGTGACCGTGGTCAGTAAAGGATTTAATCATCTACCAAGAGGGTGGATTTCCGTTTAACATCGCAGATACAATGTGCCATAAGAGCTCCCCGGAAGAACCGGGGTTCCATGGAGATGGAGAGGGTGGATTTTGTGAAGATAACTTGGAAGACGAGAGAAAGGACAGAGGAAAGACCATAATTGGGCTGGCCCAACAGGCAATATGCCATGAGAGCTCCCCGAAAGAACCGGGGTTCCATGGCGATGGAGAAGGTGGATTTTGTGAAGATAACTTGGAAGATAAGAGAAAGGATAGAGAAAAGACCATAATTGGGCTGGCCTAGACAGCACAACCTTTTTAGCAGGCCCAAGCATGACCTGTTGGGCCCTTTTTCCGTGCCAGGATGGCCTAGACAACACATCCTTTTTAGCAGGCCGGCCCCGCCCGAGGCCCACCAAATGAGAACATAGAGGAGGGGAAGGCGAGGCCTGGAGGTGGTGGCGGCCGCCGGTGAGCTCGCCCCCGGGAGGATGCGGCGGAGGTGGGGAGGGCGCTCCGGCTCCGTGGAGGACGCGAAGTAGCTGGCGGTTCCGCCGTGGTCCGGGCGAATCCATGGAGGACGCACTGGCTCTCCTTTAGCTCGGTGGAGGGCGGCGCGCTCGAAGCTCGAGGGTCGGGGCTAGGGCGGCGGCGCTCCAAATCTCCGGCCCAAGCCTTCGTCGTGGAGGAGGCGCTGGAGCCGCTTGAGCCAACGGCGCGCCCGCGTCCGGCATCCGTAGCCAGGCATGGAGGAGGTGGCGGTCTGGCGGCGTCGGGAGAGAGAGGGGCGTGAGCGCATCGTTGTCTGCCTGTCTCGCGCGGCTCGCATTGCAAGTGAGAGAGTGTTGCGCGAGAAGGGGTGGATTGGTAAAAAGAAGTTAAGGTTATGGGGAAGGAGGCTGGTGGACTCTTAGTAGGCTAGGGTGGTCACCGGGCCTCTCACCAAATTGTGGGCCGTGTCGGGCCAGCTCGTGTGTTTGGGGTGTGGCCCAGGCATGGCCCTGTGTACCGATCCATGCTAGCCTGGGCCCGCTCATCACCGGGCTAGGCCATGCTCGTGCCGGGCCAAAAATGCACGCTGGCCCAATTGGCCAGGGCGGGCCCAATATCGAAGAGTTGTTTGCCCAATTCATACACACCGGCCTCAACTCCTCGGACGCAAACGCAAAATCTTCCTGGTCCGCACCCTCCCCCTCCCATCGATGGAAGGAGCATTATTAGGAAAGAGTGATCGAAGAGGGAGCCTAGGATGGGTTAGCTAGAGCACAAACCGGGACCAAACGCGAGTCTTCTACTTGTATTAATTAAGCTTCACACTTCTGCTTGTATTAACCTTATGCTTCACACTAAATAAAGTGGCCTAATTATAGGTCCTCACCAATATTAGAATGCCGAGCAACCCACTCCATAATTAGAGGTGAAAAGAATGGGAGAAAACATGATGTCAAAATTTGGGAGGAAAAAACTGAAAAGATTCAAGTGCACCGGACGGACGGGTGTGAGATTGTAGATCTATAATGCATGCCTGTTTGCTGCTGCCTAACCTGGACAGAAGAATAAAAAGAACACGGAGAAATGGGGACCAAGTGACCAACTCAGGAACACCAGGCACACAGCACAGGGAGTAAAAGTACAGTCGCATGAATCTCGATACACACTGTTGTATCTTGCGGTGAAAATTTTACTGTCCCGGGGTGGCACAGCCGGCCTCACTGTCACGTCACCGCTAGGCTAGACGGCGCCTACTGACACTGACTCTCCTGTCGGCACCTTGAGTGGGAGTGGAGGTGGGAATGGGATGAGCGGCGGTGGCGCCGGCGGTGCCTCTCCTTTCTTCACCACCGCCCGTGGCGCGAACAACGGAGGTGGAGGAGGCTGTGCCACCGCCTGCTGCTGCACTTGACCGGCCTCGGCGTCCACTGGGGCTGGGGCTTGGGCTGGGACTGGGGCTGGGACCTGGGGCCAGTGGGGCATGCTGACCCACTGCTCTCCAACCACCGGTACCGGTATCGCAGCTGGAACTTCTGCGGACGAATCAAAGCGTCAGTGAGTTTGCATGCATTACGTGTATATATTGCTGATGGCTACTGAAACAGGTTGCGAGAACATGTATGCATGCATCTTGACGGTCGATCGGTCAAGAGGATGATTGATGCTAACGATATCAACGTTGCAATATACTGTACAATGCAGCAGCAGACTGAGAGAGACAGTGCAGTAAGTCCGTACCTCTGGACTTCTTGACCTTGACCGCCAGGAGTACAGCAAGGCTTAGAAGAAATGCGATACCGGCAACGACCGCCACCCCTAGCAAGAACGCTGTCACAGCTGACGCCGCCTTGGATGGCCTCTTGGGTGGTGCAGGCGGTGACCTGCTGGGTGGGCGCGGCGGAGAAGGTGGTGGCGGCGGGGGCGCAGGAGCAGGGGCGTGCTCGCACGCGTCAGTGTCCTTAGGAGGCCGCTGCTGACGCCCCCCGCAAGCCCTGTAATAGCCCCAGACAGCGGAAACACTCAGGTAGGATTTGGTGAACTCAGCTTCATCCACCACCATGCACAGACAGTCTGTGTCCTGGTCATCGATTATGGCTAACACGACAGTACAGCACCGTCTTGAAGGCCGGATGTTGCCGATGTTGCAGTGCTGAACCAATTGTGCTGCCATGGGGGTGGAGTCACAGGATGATGGTTCCACGTGCTCTCGTCCTTTATATCCCATGAATGAATTGTAATCAAGCAGTAAATTAAATCACCTCTGGCCAAATTAACTGGAATAATGCCTATATATATATATATATATATATATATATATATATATATACCTCTGGCTTTGGGTTGTTGGTTGGCATCTGAAAGCATCAGTGGTGAGTGGACAGTAGTGGCTACTGATGTCACAAAGGAGCGGTGCTCAAGCACACCTGCGCTCAATTTATCAATCAAAGCAACTAAAGTAAATACATAGTATGTATAACTGAAGAATCTATACTGTAAGTAGCTAGATGTGTGATACGGAAATGAAAGACCAACCCAGCACATCGAAATATACAGTACCTGTCAATTCAATGCAAGGAACAGTGCGGAGCCTCATAGAGGCTATATACTGGGCAGCAGCAGCCCCCCTTGATCTATTTTTTTTTTTGAACACCAAGTTTACCAGTTACTAATAATTTATTATCAATTTGTAGGCTTGCAGCGCTCACAGTGAAATGCTAATTGCCAAGTTAAAACGCCAAAAGCTAGCTAATTGGCCAGTTCAATAATCAATAGGCACAAGCGATTCGGCCCCGCTTCACGCTCGGCTGCTGGCAAGGAACGCTCGAAATCGCACGCACGCAACAACAGCCAGAGACGATGGCAGCACATCCAAATGTAATCGATCTGTAATGCAAGGAATGCTCGAAATCGCACGCACTCAACAACAGCGAGAGACGATATGGCAGCACATCCAAATGTAATCGATCTGTAATGCAAGGAATGCTCGAAATCGCACGCACGCTAACAACAGTGAGAGACGATGGGATGGGAGGTTGAAGGAGGATAGCGACCGCGTGATTACCTAGGCAGGCAGCGGTGGCGAGGTAGCCGGCGCCGCGCAGGCGTAGCCGTCCTCGGCAACTGCTGTAAAGGGCGACGATGCGGGAGGCGTTGAGGCGGCCGAGGAAGAGCGAGTGATCCACCGGATGCTGGACCGCGACGCGGCAGACGCATGGAACCGTGGCGACGACCGACTCGCAGCAGGACGCGGTGGGCGTGCCGGCGCCCGCGCATGACTCCGCCACCCGTCGGCTGGCACTCGCGAGGGCGAGGTGGCCTGCCCCGCACGCGTCATCGGCGCCTGTGGCCGTCGCCGCTCCACCGACGAGTAGTAGTCCGAGCACGATCACCAGGAGAAGGTTCCCCATGGGTCCGGCGGGGTGGGGTTTCTCCCCTTCTCGGAGTGGTGGCGCGTGTGTGTGGACAACGGAACGGAGAGAGAGAGCGGAGGTGATGGAGTGCCTTGTAGGAGAAGAAGAAGAGGACGGTCGGGCCGTCCAGAGTCCAGACCGAGGTGGTTGGCTGGGATGGGCTTAGCCCAATGGCCCAAGATGCAGCACAAGACAGTCACACGAGGAAAAAGGATTTTTTTATATATACTATATCTAATAAGTATAAGTTAAAAGAAATGCAAATATATATACCTTTGAATTCACACCTAAGACCTAATAGACCGGGTAAGAGCTACAGCCAACTGAAAATTGCCCCAAAATTGGCTCAGCACCATAATTTACCGCCCGTTGACAAGGCAGTAGCTTTGAGTCTCTTTTTTTTCCACAACGAATGACTAGGAGCCTTCAAAAACATTGTAATTTTTTAAATATATACTAAAAATTAAGCAAGACTCATTTTACCTATATCTGACATCACGGCTTTTGTAGTTTTGAGATTAATATATATTTTTTAAAATGCTATAGTTGAGTTTTCAGTTGATCTGTTTAGCACCAAGATGTTTTTTCAACAATTCAGAAAAAAACATATAAATTCATGTTCTGAAAAATAGTATTTTATCATGCAATTTTAGCATACATGCTCAAGTAAAATCTAAATCTCCTTAATACAATACATATTGAAAATTAGGTTTTGTTGGTATTAAATTATTTAAATCCATTCCAAAGAAGCTAAAATTTTCAATAGATTCTAAAGGTAATGGAAACGTGTCATAAAAAATTGGGGGAGATGATGCGTTTGAAATTTTTGAGCTTGTTTTCAATACGTTTAAATTTAAGATCAAAATAAAATCTAAATTTGTCCATGCACTTTGTAAGGAAAAATGGACCCTGGTCCATTTAGTTTGAATTTTAGTGTTTGATGATCAACATGACCAGGCTGAACTAATGAATTTGTAAGTGTTTGTTTTGTAGTTTAATAGGGTGTAAAAGTGGTTTGGACAAAGACGATGTGGTGATCCGGATGATCTATATCTTAAGCAAGACTTTAGAAGTAACATAGAAGACCTAAAAGATCAAGCAAAGTTTAGGCACAAGTTTAGAACCAAGCCAGATGCAAGACGCGAAGAAAAAAAAAGAAAAGCTTATGCAGAGCGTCAGACTTTCCGCAATCCTGGCGTCGTACTGTTTGACGGTTGGATAGAATTCCAGTGTAGCAGGGCAAACATCGACCGTCTGGGACGAAGGCATCGAACTAGGGGCCTGTTTTGTTGTTGCAGTGCCTCCTAAAATTCCTGTCACATCGAATGTTTAGATATATATATGGAGTATTAAATATAGACTAGTTACAGAATTAATTGCATAACTTGCGACTAATTTGCGAGACAAATCTTTTAAGCCTAATTAGTCCATGATTTGACAACGTGGTGCTACAGTAAATATGTGCTAATGATAGATTAATTAGGCTTAAAAAAATCGTCTCGTAAATTAGTTTCCGTCTATGTAATTGATTTTATAATTAATCTATATTTAATGCTCCTTATTAGTATCTAAACATTTGATATGATATGAATTTTAGGAGCGACTAAAGAACAACACCCCTAAATTGAATCACTGTTCACGAGAGCAGAGAAACTCAGTAGGCGCAGTAGAGCGTCGGACCATTTCAGCCACAGCCCGTGGTACTCATAGAGTGGCTTTTGGGCATCGGACCGAGTCCGGAGCAGGGCGTGGGACTGTCCAAAGGTAGAGGGCCAGTCGTCAGTGAGAAGATGGCGGCAATGGTCAGAAGAACAACGATGAGAGCAGGGTGCCGAGTCCCAATGGCTCTTTTCAAAGGGCGGCTATATATATGTCACTTGGCTGGCCAAAATAAGGGTGTGGGAGCTCAAGGAACATGTGTATGAGTTGTTCATTTTTAGGAGCTTTAAATATCAAAGTGCTTAGTGGTACACTCAATGATTACTGTAGGTGCTTTGCGAAGTATGTTTAGGCTAGTTAGACCATCGTTAATTGCACTTGCTCTAGGCTTAGGCTTTGTCGGTGTTTCGAGTTGCAACCAACTAGTAAATTTCTAATATTACACGTCTGGCTCGGATAGTGTGCTAAGAGGACACGAGATTTATACTGGTTCGGGCAGAATGTCCCTACGTCACATTCGTTGCTGCTGCTTATGTTACTATCACTAAAAGTTCGTAGTAGGGGTTACAAACGGTCGAGAGAGGGACAGGTCCCAAGTCTCTGGTGAGAGGGGAGAACGAGTGCTGAGAGCTCAGTCGCTTCTCGGCTGTGTACTTGTATGTTTTGATCGGTTCAGGGTTCGATGGTTCGAGTCTCCTTTATGGGACGCCCTGCTTTCACTTTTATAGGCCAAGGGAAAGCATATGTTACATTGGAAGAAAAAGAGGAGAATGAGAAGGAGAAGAAGTCCTCCAAGATCGTCGGGTCCTTCTTTTTCTTCACGCGGGTCCCGTCGACCCTATAGACATCAACAGGGATAGCTCCATGTCGTGGCCCTGTCCGTCACTGGCGCCATGCGCAGGCATCGTCTCGCGGTCATGGCACTCCACTCCGTCCTAGCGGACTCCGCCTCGACCGACCCCGAGGCCGGGGGTTAGGCAGAACTGCATCGGTACGCCCGACGCTGTTTCTGATGTGAATCCCCAGGTATGGCTCGTCACGGCCAAGGGTTATCTTGGGGCATGCCGGTCACCTCTCTAGTGTCAGAGCTTTGACCTAGACCCATTCGCTTGGACCTAGAGTGGTTGGTGGTGATATGGGTCTCCATCGGGCGAGACGGATCCCCCGGCCTTAGGGTCGATCGAGGCAGAGTCCCCCCAGAGGCCGGGCGATGCGGAGCATAAACCCAGAGGTCAGGCGAGGTAGAGCCTACGACCTCAGTGTCGAGCGAGGCGGAGCCCGTCCCTAGAGGTCGGGCAAGGTGGAGCCAGCCCATAGAGGTCGGGCGAGGCAGAGCGCAAACCCAACGGTCGAGTGAGCCGAAGCCCACCCCTAGAGGTCGGACGAGGCGGAGCTAGCCCTTAGAGGTCGGGTGGGGCAGAGCCCATGGCCTCGATGTCGGGCGAGGCAGAGCCCGCCCTCAGAGGTCAGGTGAGGCGAAGCGTAAACCCAAGGGTCGGCCATGGCAGAGCCCACCCCCAGAGGTCGGGCGAGGCGGAGCCAGCCCTTAGAGGCTGGGAGAGGCAGAGCCTGCAGCCTCGGTGTCGGGTGAGGCGGAGCCCATCCCTAAAGGGCAAGCGAGGCATAGCCCACTGTCGACAGAATATGCTCGGCAGTCCACCGAGGGGTATCCCGCGATGGTAGATTTGTCGGTGGGGGTGTGCGTAATCAGGAACCAGATGGTGACACAAGGCGTAGAGACAACGATTTAGACAGGTTCAGGCCGTCTGATCGATGTAATACCCTACGTCCTGTGTCTTTGGTGCATTGTATTGATCTGTAAGTAGATCTGATCTAATAGATCCTGATGAATCCTATCCGCTAGGGGACCCCTACCTCTCCTTATATACTCTGAAGGAGGTAGGGTTACAAGTAAAGTAGCCTATTTGGTACTATACAATGTCTTGTAGTGCAGGCCGAGCAGCACCATGCACGCCTTGATCTTATGGGCTGGGCCACCTCCGATGGTGCGGCTCATGTCTTGGGGGCCATACCCCCACAGCTAGTCCCCGAGCCTGACAGTAGGTGACGTAGTCACGTGGTGCCAAGGTCAGAAAGTAGAAGACCACCCGAGCAGGCAGCCAGTCCCTGGGCGTAGCCTTGAGATGAGAACAAGCACATTCACCGCAAGGTGAAGTGTGCCCACTTAGTCCTCGAGCCTGCTAGAAGATGAAGAATGAATCTTGTAGCAGGGTTAAAGAAGTCTGAAAGCTTGCCAACGTCGTCTGACATGCGCGTATCAAGACCCCAGACGTGCTGCCCAAGATCAGCACCCTGATCCGAATAGCATGGAGCAGCTTGATAGCACACCGACAAGACGTGGCAAGATCTGAGCACCGAGGAGTCCCCGGCGTAGCCGGCGATGTCTGAGCACCGAGGAGCGAGGAGTCCTCGGCGTCGTTGGCAATGACCGAGCACCGAGGAGCGAGGAGTCCCCGGCGTAGGCGGCGATGTCCGAGCACCGAGGAGCGAGGAGTCCCTGGCGTTGCTGGCGATGACCGAGCACCGAGGAGCGAGGAGTCCTCGGTGTCGCTGGCGATGACCGAGCACCGAGGAACGAGGAGTCTCCGACGTCGCTGGCGATGTCCGAGCACCGAGGAGCGAGGAGTCCCCGACATAGGCGGCGATGTCCGAGCACCGAGGAGCGAGGAGTCCCCAACGTCGCTGGCGATGACCGAGCATCGAGGAGCGAGGAGGCCCTGGCGTCGCTGGCGATGACCGAGCACCAAGGAGCGGGGAGTCCCCGGCGTAGGCGGCGACTGTCTGAGCACCGAGGAGCGAGGAGTCCCTGGCGTCGCTGGCGATGACCGAGCACTGAGGAGTCCTCGGCGTAGGCGGCGATGTTCGAGCACCGAGGAGTCCTCGGTGTAGGCGGCGAGGTCCGAGCACCGACGTAGCTGACAATGTCCGTGTGGTGAAGTGTGCCCACTTAGTCCTTGAGCATGAGGTATCCGTGCACCGAGGAGTAACCGGTGTAGCTGGCGATTAGTTCGATCAACTGGTTAGCGACGGAGTCCATGAACCAAGCGGTCTGACCAGTTGATCGGTAGAGAAGTCCGAGCACTAGGTGGTTCGATCACCTAGACGATGATCCTGCAATACAAACATGTAGAATGGGTAGTACATGATGTACAAATAAATAAACTCCGGAGAAAAATTAGCAATGGTGATGAAACGGCGTATGCAGTTCGGCGATCAGTTGGTGTGAAAATATATTTATGTTTAATATAAACCGCCCGAATAGTTAGTGTGTAGCTGAGTCTCCAGCCCTAGCTAGCCCATAGTCCATAACATCGAGT